AATATATGTAGATCACTAAATATATGTATATCACTAAATGTATCACTAAATATATATCACTAAATATATAAACATATACATATAATCACTAAATTCTTTATATAGCACTCAAGAGACATGATCTAGAAACATCTTCCCTCATAAGAACTTAATCTGTGTGTATATGTGTGTGTGTGTGTGTGTGTGTGTGTGTGTGTGTGTGTGTGTGTGTTAAAAGTGGGTAAAGGTATAAGGAAAGATATCTTAAAAACTAATATTTTTTTGTTGGGAAACCCTGCTGTTAGGGTTGTAGTCCTCCATGTCTGGATAGCTCTAAGGGGCTTGGCGCCAAATGGAAGGACTCACCTTCTCAGCAGGGGGCCTCCTGCTCTCTTCCTGATTTACCTGGAAAATGCCACCAAGCAGGGATGCCTGCCCTTATTTGGAACATGACCTTTGGCATAGTTACCTGGAGTAAAAACTACCCCCAGGTTTTTTCTATATGATAATCAGGCATTGCCTGGCAGTCTGACGATAGGAGCCCACTACCACATGTAAATAAAGCATACTATGAGCACCTATCAGCTGAGGCTTTGGCTGCTGCCTCCACACTATATTTTCCCCAGTTCTCCCACTGAATAAACGGAGCTGTTTCACTGAATCTAGAGCTGTCTCACTGAGTCTGGAGCTGTTTGCATCGTTGAACCTGCCTCCCCGGAAGGGCTTTCTTCTGTCAGTGCTCACTGGCCATCCTGACCGGTGGCCAACGACCCAAGAGGAGAGGGAGAAACCCCACAATTTTTATTATCTAAATTGTTGTGAATGTGGCCATGAAACCATACTGTGTATGGACACCACATGATCCAGAAAACTAAAGGAAGATGCGCTTGAATAACTGACTCATAAACAAGACCTGCAAGATGCTCAGATGTTTGGCTCTACAAAGAGGGAGGAGAGGCACATTATAGGTACAAAGACAGACCCAAGGCACCAGTGTGTCAGAGAAGGGGCTGTGAGATCAAGGAGTCCAGAGAAAAAGTCTCAGACAGGTTGTCAGCAGAGATTCTTATAAGCCATCCAGAGAGCTCTGACTGTTTTCCAGGCAATGGAATGCCCTCCATGTGTTTTGAGATGACATGGTATTTGATCAGATTTTCTAATTAAAAATACCTTTCTTGATGCAGGTCAATCTGAACACCTACTCACTCTTTTTTGGCTCATGTCTTTATGGTATTCCCTTTACCTTTAAATCATCCATTCAATAAACAGTAACTTCCTATCATGTCCCAGCCTCTTCTCTTTTTGACTTTGAGTTTACACTGATGAATAACACTAAAATATCTTTTTGGGGGCAGGGGGCTCACTCTCAAGTAACCCAGACTGGCTTTGAACTTGCTATGTAGCTGAAAACAGTCTTGACCTCCTGATCCTCCTGCCTCTGTTTCCCAGTGCAGGGATTACTGGTGTGAACTACTATGCCAGCTAAAATCTTTTCTTTTGTAGCTATTGCTTATTATTTGGCTTTCTTCCAATGAAGTATTCTCGAACCTTCCAGACACATTCAGCTATCAACCTGGTGCTCTCTCTCCGTGTGTGTGTGTGTGTGTGTGTGTGTGTGTGTGTGTGTGTGCTGGAGAGAGAGAGACAGAGAGATAGAGAGAGACAGAGAGACAGAGCCTGGGTAGCCAGGGCCTTATATACCCACATTTATTCCCAACAGTGTGGTCTGAAATCTCCTCAAATGGAAAGAATCACATTCACCTTTTTAACAGATTCCGATGCATACTCGAAGTTCATGAAACAATTTTAAACAAATGAACTATTAAATATTTAAGTTCTCAAGATCAAGATGATAAGGAAACAGGACCATAATGTAACCTTTTTTCTCTATGGCCACAGTTAAGCTAAATCAAGGTTGACAGTGGGTTCACTGCATTCCAATGTCCTGTTTCAGTTCAATGGGCAAGGTAAGTACCCTCATCCCCAAATGCATTCCTGATCACATAATTCCTAAGGAGTACAAACTTTCTTGAACTTCTGTTTCATTGTGTAAAAATTAGCCAAACCTAAAATGGAGACAGAAAGAGCCACCTGTCAACTGCAACTTCCTGCCTGTCTGAACAGCCCCATAACTCTGCATCATATTCCCCAGAGGAGAGGACCCAGAGGACTGCTGAGAATTAGTGTCTTCTGCACATGACAGGACTGTTGCACTCATGAAATCTCAACAGTTGTAGTATTCTTCACAAGACTTGTCCAAGCTCAAACCAGTCAGTATTCCAGTAAGGATAATGGAAGGGTTCCCAGGGTTCTACCCTAGTTAAGAAGCTTCATTCACTGACAGCTCTGGGGGAGGAAAGGTCAGTTTTCCTCAGGGATGTGGCTCCTAGTAGGTTGCCTGTGTGCCAGTGGACAGCTCCACACCCCTGCACATACAAGGAACACTAACTGGAATCAGTGAGTTCTGTTTAAAAAACCCCTAAATGAATTCAGTGCAACTATATATGTACATATATGCATCTTTATAAACGTATAATAATCATCATCAAAAAAGAGGAAAAGAAACTGAGAGAAAATGAGGGGGGCATGGGAGGAACTGGTGAGGGACTGGGAGGGATGGAAATAATGCAAAGACCATATTCCTCAAAAATAAAAGTTAGCCCAGGCATGGTGGCAGACATCTCCAATCCCAGCACTTGGGAGGCAGAGGCAGAAGGACTCTGTGAGATCAAGTCCATCCTGGTCTGCACTGTGAGTTCTGGGCCATCTGGGGCTATAGGGAGATCCTGACTCAAAACAAAACAAAATAAACACAAAGGAAAAAAATTAAGAAAAGGAAAAAAATAAGTACAGGACATGAAGTTGGGTAGGGGACAGTCCAGGGCTGGGAGGGCTGAGCGGTGGATATGATGAAAATATATTCATGTTTGAAATTCTCAAAGAATAAATAAATTAATAAAAAAAATTAAAATAAAACTTAAGTGCCCCAAATGGCTTGTTCATTGTGATGAATGCTTCCAAGACCCTCTTTGATTTCTTTCACCCTCCCACATCTATATGAAATAATTATGCTGCATATTTTTAACATCTTGATAAGCAAGGCAGAAAAAATACAGGTGCTTCTGTGAATACTAATGGAGAGAAAAGGAGGGCAGAACACACTCTTGTCCCTTCAGTAAGTGGTTTGGCCTTGAGGTCAATTTCCTTCATACCCATGTGACCAGCTCACACACACGCATGAAGCTAAGGAAAAATTTATTATCATTTAAGATTATCTGGACACAGAATTTCACTGTGACCTTAAACTTTCTAGGGAATACCAGGTCATGGAGAGATAAGTGTGTATGCGTTACTGTTCAATGCCATGCCCAGTAGAAGCATGCACTGAGTTCAAACAGGCCTCACACAAGAACATGCAGAAAACACCAGGTTATGAAGTAAGAGGAAACAAAATAGGGGAGTCTCTTGGCTCAAAAATTTAGAGTGCCAGACTTCAGGACCATTTGGTCAAGATTTTAGGGCCACCACAGACTAGAATAGGATGGGTAATGAAACTGACCTGACCCACCCAGGGAGTAGCTTACCTTTGAATATTTGTATGTATGCTCTATAGGGTTTAAAATTCATAACCTAAGCTTTGTAATGACCACGTTAGAGAAATTCCCACAAATGCAGAAGCTTTCTGCCTTATGTCTCATGATTAAGTGAAGGATAGGAAATAATTAGAAAAAGCCAGCTCATGGTCAGAGATCTTAAAAAACAAAGGATAGTGGTATTACTAGCGTTCCATTTACTTCCTGGAACTTATAACCAAAATTTGAATATGTCAATATAGCATTTGGGGTCCCAAAGCAGTCCTTTGCTTACCATATTCATTTAATATAATGGTAGAAGGCAGGGGGTGCTTTCTCATTTCTTCCTGCAGAGCAGGGTCTGGTGCATTCTCTTATCATATCACTTAACAAAGATTTTGCCAAGATGCTATATTCTGAGAGTTTCTCAATATCTGTTTCCCTGTTTTATCTCCTTCCACTCTCTCTTTCTCTCTCTTCCTCTTTCTCATCTTTCTCTCTTCCTCCCCCCAACTCTTTGTTTAACACACACATATCCATAAACAAGTGGCTATGTGTATGTGTTCAGATATATACATACATACAGTTACTAATAACTAAGTAGCAATAGATCTTTCACGTTATTTGCATTTTAGAAACAAAATTTATATCATTAGACTGCTTATGAATATTTAAGATTTTTCTACTGCTACAATGGTTGTTATACATCAACAAATGATAAGGCATTGGCCATTATGCATTGAAAATACTAATGTCTTCAACACATCTGTACTTTGTGCAGCTAAGCTTGTATATAATGTTGTTAATCCCAAATTAATAAAGTGACTTGGTAACAAAGTTAATTTTTAATGGGAAATTTAGACCATAAGCTATTTCTGATTAGGAAATATTTTAAGACACTGAAAGAAATAACTTAACAAAATACTAATAATAACATTCTTTCCTAAGCAGCAAATTCTAGAGGAAATCCTCATCCACACTTTACAACAGGTGTGCCCATAAAAGTTGAATTCCAACATGAGGTCATCCTAAAGCTATTAATCACTGATGTGTGACTTATATAAGGCTCCCTTATATAATTTAACATCTTGTCTTTCATTTTTGACCAGAGTACTGGACTTGGTCCCTAACTCAGAGCAGATGTTCACATATGAGTGTCAAGTCTCCTAAATGCATCATAAGCTTCACTTTCCCATTTACTGGGTTTGGAGTAAAGGGGAATGTGTTCTCATGCTTTAAATTCCATTCAAAATTTTTACTGGTCAATTGGGAGTCTGCCTTCTTTGATCCTTTCAGTAGCTCTGTGAGATGCTTGAGTACAAATGTAAAAATGTCCATTTCATAGATGAGGAAACTTTGGCCTAGAGAAGAAAACTCTTCAGTGTAGGTTTCCCCAGGGGAAGAACTGAGGATTCTGGTCTCCTTCTTCCACAGTAGAGAGGTACTCACGTAATGATATGGGTCTCCACGCCTGCTTCCACCAAAGCCCCATCAACGAAGAGAGGTAGCAACGTGAAACTGTATTTGTCCCAGGAGTGGCCCTCGTCAAAACTCACCCTGAGACAGAAACAAATACATGGAAGAGACATGTGACAATAAAGCCACAATCTTCGGCGACCATATTCTATTCTATTAAAGTGTCCTCTGTATCTTGCTATCTGACAGTCTGGATTATCAATAGGCAGTAATCGTCACATCTCATATTTTAAGATTTGATCAAAACTGCATTTCTCGGCCCAGGCAGAAATTGCACCAGAGCTGTAGAAATATTTCAACATATTAGAATCAAAAGAGAAAAAATGGAAAGAAAAAGAAAGCATAAGCAGGAGGGCTCGGTGGATTGAGTGCCACATTTCACGCACTCAGAATGAAACCCGAGGTTCAATTTACAGCACAATCAATTCAGCCCTTGGAGTTTCTGACACAGACAAATTGAGTAGTGTGTGGTGTACCCTTTGGGAAGGGGGTGTATGTGTTTCTCAGATCAAGCTAAAAAAAGCAATTTCCTATTTGTTCAGAATGGATATTGGGATATTCCCTCTCCCCAATACCACTTTAAGGGGCTTTTAGGCATGGCTACTCTGAGTTGTTCTGAACACCTCTGTTCCATTTTTTTTAAATCCAAAGGTCCTTTGTAGGCGCAGAGAGCCTGCACCTCCTTAAAGGATGCTCCTGGGGGGAGAGACTGCAGAAATTCCCAGTGCTCCCTTCCTTCACTTTCTTGATATTATCAAAGTTCGCTCTGCATCTTGGTTTAACTAGAAGCCCAATGACGTATCCTTGAATTCTTCATCCTCTTTGATCAGGTCTTGTCTTGTCAGAGTCTTAAGACTTCCGTGAGTTCAAAATTTAAGATTTGGAATCCCTCCTATGTATAGGCCTCCTAAATTCAGGATTATAACCTCTCGGGGTAGAGAGAACATGTTTACCTTATTAGTTGAATGACTCTTTGGCACCACATAGGCATCTTTGTCACATGCTCCTCCCTTTACACTATATACTATTTCATGAAATGTATCTGACTCCCACCAAATTGTGAGATGTTTGAGGTTAAGGAGTGTAGCGTTCACCTTCATATCCCCAACACTTAGCAGAACTATGACAGTGCTAAATGAATAAATGAAGCAAAGAAGAAAAGAATATAAAGGAGCCTCATCTAATCCATTCAATCACTTTTTCAAGTGTGATTTCTACTGGTATCCATGCACAGGATGCAGGTGTCTCCTGCCCTTTTATAGAAATCCTCTCAACCCCTTTTCTGCTCACTTCTTTGTCTAATTCTGCTATCATTCACCCTCTGTTTACCTATCTTATTCTTTCTATCCACATGTATAGATTAAATCAATACTAAGGTGAATATCTTAACTCACCTAGTATAACTAATCTATCAGACAATTTTTATATTTATGGTATATCTAAGTATATATCCATAAAAGTAAAGCAGCCAGTCATCAGCATTTGAAATTTTAAGGATTTGGTCATGTCAATCTTCTAAGAAGTATAAAGTGAAAGCTAAGCAACTATTTAAGATAGTTCAGAGAACATTGGGAAGACCTGAACGGTGGTGAAAACACCACGATGGGACCACACTTCAGCCTTCTTACTTATTAATTCCAGCATCTCCTAAAATAATGAGAGTAGTTTTCCAATATCCTATTGCCACTGAGCAGTTAACACTGCATGGTGATTTCAGGGGTTATGGGAAAATACCTTAGGTTTATGTTTTTCTTTTTTAAACTTGTTTAGATAACTTTAGGCAGATAAGTTATTATTTTCATAGACAAAGGCCAAAGTGAGTTCACAGACTCTTTCTCTGTTTCATCCAAAATTTTCTACTGATAAAGATTGTCAACATTAGCAGAGCAACCTTCAGTAAGTGCATCCTGTATCCCAAGGTAGGTAGACTACTCCTCCTCTTACATTTTCAATAGGGTATAAAGCAGTTATTTTTACTTTATACAAGGGGAAGACACCATAAGGCAGACCACGAGGGCACATTATACCTTCTAGCATCAAGACAGAAGCACCAGAACAAAACTAAGCTCAAATGGAGAGAGAAACTGTAGAAGACCAAGGGTATACTAGCTGACATCAAGTCCATATGGAGGAAGTCAAGTCTCAGGCTGAAGCTAAGAACAGTATCAATAGATACTTAAAGAAAGGCCAAGGAAGAGGCAACCCACATAAGCGGAGTCCAAGGATGGTGTAAACAACTGAGAGAGAGCACACATTCTCCAGTGGCAGAATGAAGAAAGAGTACCATCACCCTCATTTATGACCAAGGGAACACTTGAATGCCAAGGATTCTACCATATGGGTAATTTCCTGAGAGGAGTAATTCCTAACACTTGAATAACTCAGGCTGTGGGAGTTCAAAAGCACAAAACTCCTTAAGAAACTCCAGAAATGCAATCAAAATCTTAATCTCTTAGTTATAAGAAAAGAAATTTGTGTCTGGATGGCCTGACCTTGGTGATGATTAGGACTTTTAAAATGTTCAGAGATAACTCTACTGAATTGCATCCCCAAGGGATCCTCATTCTCCTCATCATGTCATTTGCTCATAATGTCCAAGACAAAGAAATTGGGAACCCTGTATTAAGTCTACAGTTGAAACTGAAATCAGTAAAATTGTCAGTACTCAAGGAGAAAGAATAAAATTCCGAATGACCTCCAAATAGGGTTATATAGAAATACACAGTGAAAACTAAATAAAATACCTTGATTACATGGTTAATGCTCATTCTGAGCCTGAGCTGTCTGCAATCTCAGTTCTAGAAACAGAAAAGTATCTCCAGAAAGGAGAGTAAAGGAAATGTTCTGGGAGAATAGGAAATTTTAGTATGATTTCAGGAGACAAACAATACATCTACAACCTGAAACAGAAAGAAGATTTACAAATAAGAGACAAGTTAATTTAAAGTGATTTTCCAGTAACCAGAAGTAGTAACAAAAATACGTAGTGCTTAACCTGAGATCTTAAATGACATCATGGAAGTAAGCATCCAAAGACCTAGGGGAGAACTATTATAGAAGAAATACCTAATGTGAAGTGAACACATTTTGTAGCCAAAAAGATGGTCAGCATCTACAGCATAGTGGAAAAAGAGTAGAAGAAAGTGTAATCAGGAAATAAGGCTGAAGCCAGTCACAAAGTACTTTGTCCCCAGTTGAACTATGAGGGTCGTGATATGATTCGAACTTTAAAAGATAGCTTTTGCTTCCCTGTGGTGAGTAGCTTGTCAGGACCCAAAGTGGATCCAAGAAAATGAATTGCAGGAGGCATACTAAAAAATGCAAAAGACCAAGAAACAAATGGGACCAGGATAAAGGCTACTGTAGGGAGAAAGAGAAAGAGTTCACATATTTTTAGAGGCAAAGTCAATAGGATTTGGTGATGAGCTATGAGTCTGTATAAGCCTAAGGAGCTAATTAATCATGGAAAGTATTGTTTGGGGGTACTTACAAAATTAAGAGAAAAGTAGGAAGCCCAAGAGAAACAATATCTTAGGTTTGCCACTTTCTGTCTTGGTCCATGTCAAGATTTAGATGCTTTACAGACTTCCATGTTGTGACTTTGTCAGGAATACCTTTGGATGGATGGGTAGGGCCAACTTGAATGTAGAAAGCTTAATAGAAAAGAAGAAATAAAATAAAAAGATCTACACTTGAAGAACGGAGAATATTAAGCAATGAAATTATAAGTTCAGGCAAAAAGAACTGGATTCCTTGTCAATCATGAGTTAAGTATTTTCCAACTATAGTACTACCAAAATAACCAGTGAAGCCACAGAATCCAGTAAGTGCCCACAGATAGGTTACATATAAAAAAAGGAAATTACCCTTCTACTAAATCCTAAATGCTATGTCCATTTTTTTCATGGTTAAAAAAAAATCAATCAAATATACGATAATCAGTGTGAATTAAGGTGAAAGAGAAATTTTCCTAGATATGAGTTATAGGAATTTTAGACAGCCAAATTAGGATGAAATAGACTGGAACTGAATTAATTATCATTTTCAAATTACTTTTAAATAAGGAGGTTTCTACACATTAAAAAGAATACCCTGCTTGTTTACTACCAGAATAGAAAACTGCCTATGAAGAAATTTAGAAAGACTGGAATTAGGTACACAAAATGTTTTTAAAATACAGAGAGAATAAAGAAGTGTTTCCATTCTTGAGACTCTACTGCAAAGAATAGTCTGTCTACACACAGAACGTGCACTCTCACTTACATTGTTCTGTTTAACAGCATATCCCAGGCCTTGGAGTAGTGCTGGATGTACATATAGGATGAAATCAATTAACACGTACAGCACAAACAAATGAATCAGTAATATATTATTGAGTTGCATATTTAAGTATTTGTCAAAACTTGGAAATAGTAGAAAATGAAATATCTGGGTGTTCTTTCTAACTAAACACTTTAAAAGTTCTATAGACCTAGACTCAATGGGCAGAAATTACAAGTCATTTCATCATTGCTAAGTGTTAAAACATTTTTATTTATTAACAACTAAAGCCATTTGTATGATGAAAATTTTCTGTCTTGAGTATTTACTAGTTCATTTCTTTTATTCTCTGAGGTGTTTCCCTTTACGGTGTCATGAAGGGTCCAAAAGTCCAGTGTGGTAGAGCCAGAATGGTCACTCAGAATTCTCCAGTGAGAATTCTCACCATTCTTTCCTCTGGTGAGGTGGATGTTTCTGTTTATTTTAATCCAGATACAGTGTGGTGGCATGCTGGCCATCTGGTCATTCTTCAGAGTAGCACATGCAATGTTCCTTCTCAGTGCATGCACTGGTTAGAACTATTGTTCTCATGGAAACATTTCTCTGAACAAAACAAAGTGCTAGTGCCCACAATCATTTATATATGAACAATAGAACACAAAAGGCCAGGTGATGTTTCCCTTTCTGCTTCCAAGAACATCACGTTGAAGGGAAGCAGGGACAGCTTGTCAGGACTCAGCAAATAATCTCACCTCAGCCCACCAGCCAATTAGACGTCCTGTGTGCTGTGAGTTTTCATTAGAACACTGCATTCAGTATGGCTCTATTGCTCATTTCCCTCTGTTTCTAAGACACAATGGTAATACTAGATAGAGGGCATATTTGAAATAGTACTTAAATTCTAATCTCTATGTATCCAAAAGCACATGGTCACAAATGGATGGTTCCATCTGTATGTTGTTTTGTCTTCATGCCCATCTAACTACCTATCATTTCAATTTGTAGAAACAGCATGCCTTGTTAGCCTAGCTAAAGTTTCCCTAGCTTTTCAATTATGACTCCTATTTTCTCTGAAAAGCAATGTAGCTATTATTTAAGTCTGAGAGCCTCTATACCCTTGTGTGAGACTGGGTAGACTAATATCTTTTTTTGTGTGCAAATATATATGTATATCTGCATACAAAATAATGTCAATCTGAGACCTGCAAGGGAAAATAACAATGAATTGATTACTAAATCTTTCTTCCTCTTAAAATGAGACATTTGTTTACCTTTGAGGTTGTGACTTAATTAGAAGCTACTAGCAAGGAAGAAACTGGGTTTCAGGTTTAGAAGCTTGTACGAAACAAAAATTAGTCAACCATTTTGTAAGAAAACATTGACAATAATGACATGGTCAGGCCCTTACAAAATACTCGCTTAGCCTTTGAAAAAACACACAAAGGAGAGTTCCTGAATGAATTATTAGCTGTTGTGGTTGTCTTTGAGAAACATTCACATAGCTGACATTTAACTGCTGGGAAGTTGTTGCATCCCCCCCCGCCCCAAGAACAGCATTGATAGATACACAGTGAACATAAATCACCATCCCTATTCAAGTTCAGAAGATAATTTGTAGGATTTATGCAAAATGTTAGTATCAACAGCCTTTAAAGGAGAAAATTTTGCTGGGTGTGGTAAATTCTCTTAAAAGTTAAGCTTACAAATATTGTTTTGTAAGCTGTAAGAGGAAAATAATCATGTCATTTTACAAGAGGAAATCCAATAAATATACAGTTATTTTGTGAGCTCCACAAATATTTTTCATATATTTTTATTTTTACAGTTAATTTTTTGACATGTAACATTTAAACAATGTATGAGGTACAATGTGATGGTTGATTCACTTATGTAATAGGTAG